GTTTTCTCGTATTAGGCTCTCTGATGACACTGGTGAGGTAAAACGGTGACCATTTAGGGGTGACTAAGAGCATTTCTGGCCCAGTGTTTTTTTGGGTTTCCCCTTCCCCGAAGGAAGTGGAATGACGAGCGTGTTTGGACAAGTTACCCTGGGGGAACTCTCCATCAGCGTCTTGTCCATTGCTGTGGGAGAGAGGCCTCTGGCCCTTGTGGACTAAATGGTATCTTCCTTGCCGGTCCCTGCCGGAGTTTCTGATCCTAGAATGCTCCTGGGTGGGAGAGAGGATTCAAAGGCCCAGTGGGAAGAAGAGCACTTCTCACTACCATTGTCACCAGCTTTCTGGTCTGTCCCCTTTGCTGGATCTTTCAGTCTTGCTGTTTATGGGAGCCCTGTCCAGTACAGAGTGGGCATGACCCTCGCTACGATGCCTTCTGCTCTGCAGTGGGGGTGGAAGCTGCCAGTCCTGGCTAGTGTCCTCTGAGGGACTCCCGGCCTCCGTGCTGTTCCTCCAGTACTAAGACTCCTAAGTCTCTTCTTGCTTCCTATCTTTCAGAGTTCTCTTTCGATTGTCTCCTGCACTGTTTTTCCATGTTTATAGTTATGCATTCTGGAAAGGAGCAGCGAGAGATGAATCTAAGTCCTTTTGTCAGGACTGAAAGTCTTTTTAAATTGTTCTGGTAGTTAATTCCTTAGCAACTTAAGTGGAGCTATTTTCTTAAATGTTAAAAACAAACTGTATTTCCTTATTTATAATTATTCTTTGTTCTACCTTTAGTTTACATGAAAGCTTAAAACTATAAGTATATTTATATATTTTCCAGGTATGTGTGTTACAAAGGAACCCCCAGCTTCTTCTTTAAATAAAAAAAAAAGTATTTTATATTGCTTATAATTTTCTTGGTATGATTTTTGGGAGAAATTGGTACTATTTTAACTGTTAGAGCTAGACTTACTAATTTTATTATTTAAAAGGTGGTGTTGGGCCCAGCAGGTGGCATAGTGGTTAAGGTGCTGGACTCCCACATGGTTAGACATGGTTTGAGTCCCAGACCCTGTGGCTTGAAATTCATGCTGGGCCTACGTGCTTGTGTCCCCAAAATCCCAAGGGAAGATTGGAGAAGAAGGGATTGCAGCTTCGCCCTTCCCCTCCCGGCATGGGGGTGGATTTCTTGTTTTCTATCTCTCGATCTCTTTCTGCCTTCCTGACAAGCACATACACCCTCAACGAAAATCCTCTCTCAAAAAAAAAAAGTGTTGAGAGTTATTGAAAATAGACTCAGTCATTATTCCCAGATTGCAGGGAAAGGAAAAGAAATATGTTAATGATGAAATAGAACAGTAATGCCTATTTATTTTTTGTAAAGGGGTGTGGGTTAATTGGGGCATTATTACTTTATTTGGATTAAGAAATACCTGTTCTGTTTACTATTCTTAGGGCTGTATTTTATTATATCTGAAAAATGTAGCTCATTTTGTAACATATAAGGTATTATCAATAAATACTTAGTTAATAAATACAATGGCTTAAACATACATCTGTTGTTCTGTAGACACCACCCCTATTATTATCAAATGTAGACCGTAAACTCAGGAAGATTTAGGGAACCAGCAGTTAGAGTAATGGCTGTCGATGGACTCCCACGTAGTCGACAGCGGTTCGTGTCCCGGACTCGGTGACTTCAAACTCACGCCGGGCGCGTGTGCATGCGTGCCCAAGATCCCGAGAGGAAAATAGAGGAGAAGGGATTGCGGCGTGACCATCCCCCCTGGGGGGTGATTTCTCACTTTCTGTCTCTATGTCTCTCTCTGTCTGTCTGGCGAACGCACTCACGCCCCTTATAGAAAAAATCCCTAAAAAAAAAAAAAAAAAAAAAAAACACCTCAGGAAGATTTAAATAAATGTGAATGGAAGGTGAACACTGAGTACCAGCAGGGGGCGGCAGAGTGAGACCAGGCTGGACAGGGGGGCTAGCATACTGCCATGTTAAATGGTCTACTCCTCTACCTGCATAGTGTGTCTGACCAGTAGGAAAAAACGGGAGGTGAAAGAAACAAGGAGTCATTTTGAGCTTTTGCAACCATATACCACATGTGCCGACATAGTGATAATTGCATTGTTTTAATTTTTCTTATCTTTAGGTTCAGGTTCTCCGGAATGCTGGTGAAGAAGTGACTCTCACAGTGTCATTTTTAAAAAGAGCTCCTGCTTTCCTCAAACTCCCATTGAACGAAGATTGCGCATGTAAGCATTTGCCAGGAATGGATAAAATGTTCCCGCCATCATGTTTACTTTCTAGAGCATTGTTTTCTGACAGTAACTGGTGATTTCTTCTGAAAGCTGGGATTTCTGCCTTATTAGAAACATTTTCAGATTATAAGGTGTTCTACCAACTCTTATGAAAAAGGCACAGATGTTATTCTGTGTTAGAATGTATTCGTCACTTTACAGTTCATTTTCAGATATAATTAGGGAACCATTTGTTTAAAAATGAGCATCATGTCAAATACAATGCATGTATTATTTATCTCTGTTAAATTTAATTCATATTAGTATATATTTTCTAGCCAGAAAATCATATATTCTTATTTGATTATGAACTTGCTACACAAAAACTTACACTTAAGTTGTTTTGCAGGGAATAGGAAGGTTGAAGGGAGCATTTGCCATTGTGAAAGTGCAATACTTAACGTTAGAGCTATTTAAAAAGTTTCGTATAATTTTTTTCTTGTTCTTTTTCCTGAGTTGAAATGTATATTATCTACTATTTTGTATTAAAATAAAATGAAGTATATATATATTTTTTTTCTTTTTTTGGAGAGGTTTTTGCTATAGGGCGCGTGCGCTCGCCAGACAGACAGAGAGAGACAGAGAGATAGAAAGCAAGAAATCACCCCCCAGAGGGGATAGCCACACCGCAATCCCTTCTCCATTCTCCTCTCGGGATCGTGGGCACGCATGCGCCCGTGCCCAGCGTGAGTTTAAGCCACCAGGTCCAGGACTCGAACCACGGTCGACTACGTGGGAGTCCAGCGACATAGCCATTACGCTAACTGCTGGTCCCTGAAGTATACATTTTTAACAGAGGCATTATTTATGCGCAGTGTCATTAAAAGATCTGAAATGCACACTTGGGCTGGTTCTGAAGAGGCTCACGTTTGCCAAGCCCACACTGCTTTCAGTCACCCGGGCGGCTCCTCCGTGCCCTGCCCCAGAAATAACCACTCCAGAAAACACCACTCGCTCAGTTTCTCATCATTCTTTGTTATTTTGCCTCTTATAGAAATGTACAGAATGGGATCATACTGTATAGAATTTCTAGGACTTCTTTCATTACAAATAACTATTTTCAGATTCATCTATGCTATATAGCTCAGCAGTTTGTTCATTTATATTGGAGTATGATAGTCGATTAATACTAATGTTTATTAAAGCCTTCGCCTGTTGTAGATACGAGAGCTGCTTCCACTATTTTGTTATTACAAATAACGTTCCTAAAACATTCTGATGTGAGGCTTTTTGGTAGCTTTACATTTTTATTTTTCTATAATCCATGCCTAGTATTGGGATTGCTGAGTGACAGGATACATGTACAATTAATTTATTATTATTGTAGTAAATAAAGCGTAACATAAAATTTGCCATCTTGGCTATTTTTAAGACTACTGTACAATAATGTAGCATTCTTGCACATTTTTGTATATCTTCAGAACTTCTGTGTCCTGCAGGATGAAACACTATACCCCTAAACACTAACCTGCCATTTTCTTACGCCAGCCCTTTGCAAATATCATTTTATATTTTGATGTGAGAGTTGACTACTTAGATACTTTGCAAAAGTGGAGTAATGTGCTATTGCCTTTTTTTGTTTTCCTTAGCATAATACCCTCAGAAATCATTCAGGTTACAGGATATGACAGAATTTTGTTCTGTTATTTTGAAAGATTGCATAAATCCCACTGTATGTATAGATGCATACATTTTCTTTACGCATTAATTAACCATTTAACAATTATACCGGTTCTACCTGTTGGCTATTATAAAGGAGTAATGCTGCAAGAAACATGAATGTACAGCTATCACTTCATGACCCCACCCGACTTTCAATAATTTGGGCATTTACCTAGAAGTAAAGCTGCTGGATTATGTGGTGTTTTTTTAGAAGAATGACGGTACTGCTTTCTATTACAACCACACCATTTTACATCCCATCAAAGGCGCCACTGGGCCCGCCCTCCATCCTCACCAACACTTGCTGTTTTCTGCCGGTTTTGTTTTTGGATGTAGTTGAGTTGTTTTATAATTGTTGAGTTAGATATTCTGGATAATAATACCTTATCAGACATATGGTTTGCAAATATTTTTCCCATTTCATAAATTTTCTTTTTACTCTCTTAATTATTTTCTTTGCTGTGTAGAACTTTTAATTCTTTTGTAGTCTTAATTGTTCTACTTTTAATTCTGTTACTTGTGCTCTAGGAAATCATTACCAAATCCTGTGTCATAAAGGTTTTTCCTAACTTTAAAAGTAAATTTTATAGCAGCATCATGTCTGGTGTTTAAATTTTTGGTATATATTTATATATACATACATACATATATATGTGTGTGTGTGTGTATATATGTATATACAGGTATATGTCTAGATATAGATATACATATATCTATATATATATATAAAGGTAAGGGTCCAATGTTGGTTTTGTTTTGTTTTGTTTTTGCTAAAACAACACTGGTGATTGATTTGATTTTTACTAACAATTTTGTACAGTGTAAATAAACAATCAAAAAAGAAATTTAAGAAAACTCCCATTCATAATAAAATCTAAAGGAATAATATGCTTAGAAATCTAAACAAAAGGGACAGCAGTTAGCATAATGACTATGTCGCTGAACTCTCATGCAGTTGACTGTGGTTCAAGTCCTGGCCCCAGTGGCTTAAATTCACGCTGGGTACGTGTGCGTGAGTGCCCAAGATCCCGAGAGGAGAATGGAGGAGAAGGGATTGCGGCGTGGCCATCCCCTCTGGGGGTGATTTCTCGCTTTCTGTCTCTCTGTTTCTCTCTGTCTTTCTGGCAAGAGCACGCATACTATAGCAAAAAAAAACTTCTCCAAGTAAAAAGAAAAGAAATCTAAACAAAAGAGGTAAGAATCTTACACACTAAAAATTGAAAATTACTGTTAGTAAACCAAAAATAATGTGATAAATGTAAAAACATCTCATGTTAACAATTTGGAAGCACTATTTTTTTGCATAAATAGAAAGAAATATTAAAGTTTATATGAAACTGAAAAGAATTTTGAATAGCCAAAACAATCTTGAGAAAGAAAAACAAAATTGGAGACTTCACACTTTCTAGTCTTAAGACCTATTACGAAGTGACACTAATCAAAATGTCATGGTACTGATGTAAGGACAGAGACAGAGCAATGGCACAGGATTCAGGGTACACGGCTGACTGCACGTGTAACGTAAATGCTGGTAGAAAACGACTTACCACACTCACTGTCGTGATGATGCGCAGCATGTCCCTTCTTTATATTACTTCTGTCATCAACCAGTCTTTTCGTATCTTATATCCATTGACACAGTGGTATTGATATAGTTTTTTAGTGTTTTTATCTTTTAAATTCCATATCAGAATTAAATTGATTGTCATACCTCCATTATAGTATTAGAGAATTCTGTATTTGTCTTTATTTACCATTATTACAAAGCTTTATTGTTTTCATGTATTTATTATTATTATTATTCATACATTAAGTTGCTACACATAATTTAGATTCTGAAGAGACTACCCAGCATGATATACACCTCAGTCCAACCCAGTTGAGAACACCATACACATCCTTGTCAAGAGATAATGAACCTTATCTGTGTCTCCTAAGTGTCTTACCTCTCCATCCCCCCCAAAAATTTCCTACACTCTTCCCTTCTCACACTCTCTTTCCACTTTGACTCTAGTGTCCATTACAATTTTTAATACTTTTATGGTTTCTGGCCTTTCAATCTCTACCATAGAGTGCAGACAGTTGGTATATGTTAAGTGGAGACATACAATGTCTCTCTTTCATAGCCTGACTTGCTTCACTCAGCAACAAATCTTCCATATTCATCCACTTTCTATCAGATTCCAGGGCCTTATTGTTTATTTTATGGCTGAATAGTATTCCATGGAGTATATGTGCCACAATTTTTCAATCTATTCATCTGTTTGTGGACATTTGGGTTGGTTCCATGTCTTAGCAATTGTGAATAAGGTTTAAATGAATATAGGTGTGCAAGAGCTATTCCGATGGAAAGTTCTCCTGTCCTTTGGGTAGATATCCAGGAGTGGAACTGCTGGATCATATGGTAGTTCTATTTGAAGGTCTTTGAGGGACCTCCATATTGTTATCCACAGTGGCTAGATCAATTTACATTCCCACCAACAGTGTAGGAGTGTTCCCCTTTCACCACATCCCCTCCAGCATTTATCATTATTTGTTTTTTCAATCTTCACCATTCTGACTGGGGTTAGGTGGTTTCTCACTGTGGTTTTGACCTGCATCTCCCTTACAATGAGGGACGTTGAGCATTTTTTCACATGATTTTTGACTGTTTGTATGTCTTCCAAAAAGAGTTGTTTATTCAGCTCATTTTCCCATCTTTTAATTGGGTTAATCATTTTCTTCTGGGGAAGCCGCTTGAGTTCCCTGTGTATTCTGGTAATCAGTCCCTTATCTGAGGCACAGTTAACAAAAATTCTCTTCTATTCTGGCGATTGTCGATTCACACTAATTATAGTGTCCTTTGCTGTGCAGAAACTCCTTAATCTGATATAATCCCACCCATCAATTTTGGGGATTATTGCCTGTGCTTTGGGGATCTTGCTTAAGAAGTCTTTGTCTTCCCTAATAACTCCCAGAGTTTCCCCAGTATTTTCTACCAGTAGTTTTATAGTTTTCAGCATTAGATTTAAATCTTTGATCCACTTTGAGTTGATTTTTGTTATTGGTGACAGGGGTTTAGATTCATCTTTCCACTGGTGGATACCCAGTTTTTCCTACACCAGTTCCTAAAGTGGTTTCCCTTTTCCCACTGAATTGACTGGTACCCTTTGTCAAAGATGAGTTGGCTGTATGTTTTGGGGTTTATTTCTGGGGTCTCTACTCTGTTCCATTGGTCTTCATGTCTATTTTTGTGCCAATACCATGCTGTTTTGATTATCACAGCTTTGTATTATATTTGGGGGTCAGGAAGTGAGACATCACCTACTCCAGTCTTCTTGCACAGGATGGCTTTAGCAAAATGGGGTCTTTTATGGTTCCAGACAAATTCTATGATTGTCTTTCTAGATCTGTGAAGAATGTCTCTTGTAATTTTATCGGGATTGAATTAAACTTATAGATTAATCTGGATAGAATTACCATTTTGAGTATATTGATTCTGCCAATCCAGGAGCATGAGATGTCCTTGCACATTTTAGTGTCCTTATCAATTTCCTTTTTAAGATTTTTATAGTTTTCCATGTAGAGGTCTTTGACTTCTGTGGTTAGTCTTATTCCTAGTATTTTATACTTCTTGTGGCTATGGTTAATTGTATTACA